CAGTTACTTTTTGCTGATGATACTGTGCTTATGGGAGATTCTAAAGAAAAATTGCAAAGGTTAGTGGATGAGTTTGAGAATGTGTGTAAAGGTAGAAAGTTGAAAGTGAACATAGAAAAGAGTAAGGTGATGAGGGTATCAAATGATTTAGATAAAGAAAAATTGGATATCAAATTGGGGAGGAGGAGTATGGAAGAAGTGAATGTTTTCAGATACTTGGGAGTTGACGTGTCGGCGGATGGATTTTTGAAGGATGAGGTTAATCATAGAATGATGAGGGAAAAAAGGTGAGTGGTGCGTTGAGGTATATGTGGAGTCAAAAAACGTTATCTATGGAGGCAAAGAAGGGAATGTATGAAAGTATAGTAGTTACCAACCTCTTATATGGATTGTGAAGCTTGGGTGGTAAATGCAGCAGCGAGGAGACGGTTGGAGGCAGTGGAGATGTCTGCTAAGGGCAATGTGTGGTGTAAATATTATGCAGAAAATTCGGAGTGTGGAATTAGGAGAAGTGGCGGAGTTAATAAAAGTATAGTCAGAGGGCAAAGAGGGTTGTTATGGTTTGTTCATTTAGAGAGAATGGATCAAAGTAGAATGACATGGAAAGCATATAAATCTATAGGGGAAGGAAGGAGGGGTAGGGGTCGTCCTCGAAAGGGTTGGAAAAAGGGGGTAAGGGAAAAGGTTTGTGGGCGAGGGCTTGGACTTCCAGCAAGCGTTGCATGAGCGTGTTAGATAGGGTAATTGAGACGAATGATACTTGGGACCTGACATCTGTTGGAGTTGTGAGCAGGGTAATATTTAGTGAAGGGATTCGGGAAACCGGTTATTTTTCATATAGTCGGTACTTGAGTCCTGGAAATGGGAAGTACAATGCCTGCATTTTAAACCCTTTGACTGTTTTTGACGTATAAATACGTCTTACGAGCCAATGTTTCTGAGTATATATACTCAATATTCTAGGGGCTTTAAATCAAGCGGGGATGTAAAAGGGGGTAGGCCCACGAGTTGTCCCAGATGAAATGGGTTGTGTGGTCAGTGTGCACAAAAAAAATTGTGTCAGGCACACATTGGGTATTAAATAGGAAAAAAACAAATGGTTTTTTAGGAATAAAACTCCGACTTTTGATGGTGTTTTTTGGTTAGATTTAAATCGTTTATTGCAGGTTTTCATGAGTTTAGGTGTTAAATGGAAAAATTAAAGAAATAGAGATATTATCATACTTTACGATGAAACGGATTGAAAATTTGAGTAAAAAAGTTGCGTAAATTTGGATGTTACGGAGTGTTGCAAGAAGTGAATTATTCAGTATTGGATGACAGCGGCAGCGTCCAAAACTAATGGGGAGGTCTAATCATAGAATTGACTAGTGCAAAAGTATTGAACCATGGTTTACAATAATGCAGTCATGCATAACAGTAAATTCTATGTATTTTTTGTAGAAGTGAAAAATCAAAATAGAAAGTAATAATACTATATGGGGCCTGAGATGGGTGGTAAATGAACAGCATGTTGATTTTAGTGCACGAATGCTATCTTGTTTATCGGGCAATTGTGAAATGGTAATTATTATGCGAATTGAAGTGGGAAATTGGCAAGTGCGACCAATAATAGGTATAGTCAGGCAAATTAGAGGGTGTGGAGGTGGTTTGTTCAGCTGATAGTAATGGATCTAAAGAAATGCATAAAGTGCTGTAAACTGAAACAAGGAATGGGGAAAATGGGTCCTCAAAGGGGTTGGAAAGGGGGAAAGGAGTGGCGGGGCTTGGTCGCAGAAACGCTAAATCGTGGAGCATAATCAGGAGTTTTGGACAATTGAACTTGGCTGACATTACGTGGATAGATCTTATATTTATAAGGGAAGGAATCTTTTTTTTTCAATATTGAGCGACTTGACTTTAGAAAGGGGCCTAAATCCAGCAAAGGTTAAAGGAGGGGTTTGGGATATTGGCAGTTTGGAGGGATATGTTGTGTATCTTTATACGTATATGCTTCTAAACTGTTGTATTCTGAGCACCTCTGCAAAAGCAGTGATAATGTGTGAGTGTGGTGAAAGTGTTGAATGATGATGAAAGTATTTTCTTTTTTGGGGGATTTTCTTTCTTTTTTGGGTCACCCTGCCTCGGTGGGAGACGGCCAACTTGTTGAAAAAAAAAAAAACATGTATGTGTAGTGAGACTTAAGTGCAAGTAGAAGTAGCAAGACATACCTGAAATCTTGCATGTTTGTGAGACAGACAAAAGACACCAGCAATCCTACCATCATGTAAAACAATTACAGGTTTTCGTTGTACACTCACTTGGCAGGACGGTAGTTCCTCCCTGGGCGGTTGCTGTCTACCAACCTACTACCTAGGAGAGAGTCAGTCTCTCTCTCTCTCTCTCTCTCTCTCTCTCTCTCTCTCTCTCTCTCTCTCTCTCTCTCTCTCTCTCTCTCTCTCTCTCTCTCTCTCTCTCTCTCTCTTTCTCTCTTTCTCTCTTTCTCTCTTTCTCTCTTTCTCTCTTTCTCTCTTTTTCTCTTTTTCTCTTTTTCTCTTTTTCTCTTTTTCTCTTTTTCTCTTTTTCTCTTTTTCTCTTTTTCTCTTTTCTCTTTTTTCTTTTTCTCTTTTTCTCTTTTTCTCTTCTTCTCTTTCTCTCTTTCTCTTCTTTCTCTCTCTTTCTCTCTTTCTCTCTCACTCATGTATTTTTTAGACGACCCCCTCTTTCTCTCTTTTAAACAGCCTTCTTAATCGTTTTCATTTGTCTTATCTGCTGTGTCCTTTTTCTTCTCTAACTCTTTCTCGTCTTGTACTTCTTTCTTCTCTTATCCCCACTACAATGCTGTCAGCATTATATATAGTATATTATATATATACACCCCTTGAGCTTTCTCTATTTTCTTTCTAGTTTTGTTACTTTCCTCTTACCTCCATGGGAGTGAACAGAATTTCCTCCGTAAGCCTATCGTGTTGTAAGGCGACTAAAATGGGGAGCAAGGGTAGTACCCTTCTCCTGTTATATATACAATGTAAAAGGAAACTTTGCTCTTCCTTTTGGCACCCGCCTTAGGTACGCGGTGTTGAAACAAATGTACAAGAGTATATATATATATATACTATATATATAAAACCCCTAGTCGAGTTTTCTTTATTCTTTCAGTTCTATGAAGCATTTGCTGTCTCATGGTGGTGTTCTTTCTTCCTCTGTAAGGCATGTGTTAGATAGGGGGAAGTCAACAAAATGCCGGGAAGCAAATTACGTGAGATAGGACCCTTCTCGTTGTATCATATATTAAATTAAAAGAAAACTTTGTCTTCCAGGGCACACACCTGCCCCCGGTTTCATGTTACGATCCGATGTATTGAAAGGGAAAGCAATAAGCCTATCTAATATATTCTCTTTATATAAGCAGTGGCAAAGATTATCACCACCATTTATCCAAAACATAATGCTGAAATAAGCAGTCTTTTTAAAAATTTTATGTCTGTGTCATTTTCTTATGTAGAAAGACATAATTTTAAGGCTTGAAAGTCAAAAAAACCAAAAATATGCTTTAACAGTGAGATTTGGAATCATACTTTTGCTACACATCATCCTAACTTTAATCCTAATAACTCCCTGCTTTGTCCACCCGGCAACCACCTTGCCTGAGTCTTTTTAATGAATCAATGTCAAATTGTAAAGTGCCAAAGCATACTATAATTTGCCTGAAATTCTACATTCATATTCTTCTTTCTCCTATTAGCAGTAGAGCAAAGATTATCACCACCAACATTTATACCAATAGAACATTTCTGAACATATCATTTGTACATTTTTTCAAACATTTTTTTTATCTTTAGTCATTTTCATATGCTCCCCAGAACCATAACATAACATTTTTTGGCTTGCAATAAACAATAAACTTCAGAATATATGCTGTAAGCTTAGCCTTGCTTTTTTGGATATCATAAACTTTTGCTACACCATACTCCTCACTTGTATGGATCACCAACATACCAGCCTCTGCCTTGCTTATCAGATTCACATACTTCTTGGCACCACTACTTGCTCTAGAGGTATTTTGGTAATGATACTATACTGTATAAGAAAATAATGATAAGTGCTATAAATCCACGGAAAATGGGAATTTGATGACAACTGTACATGCGAGTGCATATGGGCAATAACAGAGGCGCAGCTTAAGATCACCCTGAGAATTAATGAATACGGACAGGTCCTGGTTGTAACCATTCCAGGTTGTACTGGAAAAAGTCTGGATCCAGTGTACCTGGTCCCAGACACTACAAGACACACTTCTCACTAATAAATTAAATCTGAATCCAACAGACTAGGCTCATTGGTTCTAGACATTGTCTGACCACATATTTTATCTATTAAATCCAAAATCCAGTAAACTGAGGGTTTAACATTTCTCTAGTTTATGTTGCAATATTTTTGAGCAACATGCTGTGTGCCAAAGCATTTTCTGATTTTTCAAATAAACTGTTCTGACCATCTTTTCAATTTTAGAGCTTAGAGATCAAATGCCATTTCTGTTGAGACCAATTTCCACACATTAATTTATGTTTAAAATATCTGGCAAATGAGCATTGATGAAATGCTGCAGTACAAGATGTATGCACAGTCCCACTGCATATGGCATGTGTATACTCACAGTTTGAAAATATCTTAACACATTAAGTGAATAATGTATTGCACAAGGGCTTATTATGACACTGACACTGTGATGAAGGTGTTTTCTCAGTTGTGGTTAAGGATCTAAAGACAGATAACAGGGATTGCTTATGTGATATTCAGATTTTAATTTGAGGAAAATGTTTTGAGAACATGAACTCCAGGCAACATGAAGGTACATTATAATTTCACTGCAAAAGAATTTTGAGCCTCTATATATGTTATAACAAGAACTGGGCAAATTTAAAAAAATGTGAAATCTAGACTTACCTTTTACATTAAAAAAATACTTCTGTGTATCTCTCAACATTTAACTAACATGATTTTTCTCTCCATTAAAAAAGGTAAATCAGTCACATCAAGGTCGCTACAGCTGCACACCTTATAACCGTCACACCACAGCTGGGGCTTCAGGTGACATGGAAGTAAGTCAGAGTTGTTAACCCACTCTAGCACTTTGAATTGAGCTCTATATGAAATTAACATTTCACAGATTTCTTGTACAAGTTAACATGTATTTAATGTAGTACAGTGGAACCTTGGTTTTTGTATGCCCTAGTTGGAGAAAATTCTTGAAGAAAATTCTCTATAAAATGTATTTTTTGTTAATATTTTTGGGTGTCTGGAATGGAACCAATTACAGTGGACCCCCGCCTTACGATATAATTTCATTCCAGAAGTATGTTTAGGTGCCGTTACCGAACAAATTTTTTCCCATAAGGAATATTGTGAAGTAGATTAGTTCGTTTCAGACCCCCAAAAATACAAGTACAAAAGCACTTACATAAATACACTTACATAATTGGTCACATTGGAAGCTGATCGTAAGGCGGGGGTCCACTGTACTCCGTTCCAGACACCCAAAAATATCAACAAAAAATACATTTTACTGAGAGTTTTCTCCAAGAATTTTCTCCAACTAGGGCATACAAAAACCGAGGTTCCACTGTATTTAAGTATCTCTTTAGATTGACATAATACTGAAGTTAAATCTTAATAATATTCACTAGGTGCTAGTTCGTGACCCACCGGTGTTTGCCCCTCGGCCTCAACCTCAATATCATGGTCAAGTAGGCGAGGAAGTGACACTTGTCTGTGGAGGCCAAGGTTCACCCACTCCAGAAGTCACATGGAAGAGGGTATGTCTTGAACTTCCTTTACAGAAAGTTCAGTCATCTGTATATTCCTAATTAAATCACACTTAGTTATTTATGATTTTTATATAACATGTTCTTTCCTCAGTAAGCCATGCGTGTTGTAAAAATCAACTAAAATGCCGGGAACAATGGGCTAGTAACCCCTTTTCCCGTATAGCCTACTGAAAAGAAAAAGAAGAAAACCGTCAAAGTGGGATGTTTGAAGGTGTGTGAAAGTTGTGCGAATGATAAAAAAAAAAGATGATTGTGGATGTTATGAATGAGAAGAAGCTAGATGTCCTGGCTTTAAAATAAATGGGATTAAGTCAAGGGTTTCAAATAGAGTTAGAGCTAAAGAAGGAGTAGCAATAATGTTGAAGGATAAGTTATGGCAGGAAAAGAGGGAATATAAATGTATAAATTCAAGGATTATATGGAGTAAAATAAGGGTTGGATGTGAAAAGTGGGTTACAATAAGTGTTTATGCACCTGGAGAAGAGGAATATGTGGAGGAGAGAGATTTTGGGAAATGTTGAGTGACTGCATGGGGAGTTTTGAACCAAGTGAGAGAGTACTTGTGGTTAGGGGTCTCAATGTTAAAGTGAGTACAAATGTTGTGGAGGGAGTAGCAGGAAAATTTGGGGTGCCAGGGGTAAATGAAAATGGGGAGCCTTTAATTCAGCTATGTGTAGAAAGAGGTTTGGTAATAAGTAATGCATATTTTATGAAAAAGAGGATAAATAAATATACAAGGTATGATATAGCACATAATGAAAGTAGTTTTAGATTATGTATAGGTGGATAAAAGGTTGAAGGGTAGGCTTCAGGATGTACATGTTTATAGAGGGGCAACTGATATATCGGATCATTATTTAGTTGTAGCTACAGTTAGAGTAAGAGGTAGATGGGACAAAAGGAAAATGGCAACAGCAAGTAAGAGAGAGGTGAAAGTGTATGAACTAAGGGAGGAGGAAGTTAGGGTGAGTTATAAGCATCTATTGGCAGAAAGGTGGGCTAGTGCAAGTATGAGTAGTGGGCGGGTTGAAGAGGGTTGGAATAGTTTTAAAAATGCAGTATTAGAATATGGGGCAAAAGTTTGTGGCTATAGGAGGGTGGGTGCAGGAGAAAAGAGGAGTGATTGGTGGAATGATGAAGTAAAGGGTGTGATAAAAGAGAAAAAGGTAGCATATGAGAGATTTTTACAAAGCAGAAGTGTTATAAGAAGAGCAGAGTATATGGAGAGTAAAAGAAAGGTGAAGAGAGTAGTGAGAGATTGCAAAAGGAGAGCAGATGATAGAGTGGGAGAGGCACTGTCAAGAAATTTTGATGAAAATAAGAAAAACTTTTGGAGTGAGATAAACAAGTTAAGAAAGCCTAGGGAACGAATGGATTTATCAGTAAAAACAGAGTAGGGGAGTTAGTGGATGGGGAGCTGGAGGTATTGGGTAGATTGCAGGAATATTTTGAGAAACTTTTAAATGTCGATGAAGAAAAGGAGGTGGTAATTTCATGCACTGGCCAGGGAGGTATAACATCTTTTAGGAGTGAAGAAGAGCAGGATGTGAGTGTGGGGGAGGTGCATGAGGCATAATGTAGAATGAAAGGGGGTAAAGCAACTGGAACTGATGGGATCATGACAGAAATGTTAAAAGCAAGGAGGGATATAGTGTTGGAGTAGTTGGTGTTTTTGTTTAATATATGAAAGAGAAGGCACCTGCAGAGAGCATGTATATTTCCTTTAAATATAGGGAAGGGGGACAAAAGAGATTGTAAAAATTATAGGGGAATAAATTTACTGAGTATACCAGGAAAAGTGTATGGTAGGGTTATTATTGAAAGAATTTGAGGTAAGACAGAGAATAGGATTGCAGATGAGCAAGGAGGCTTTAGAGTGGGTAGGGGATATGTAGATCAAGTGTTTACATTGAAGCATATATGTGAACAGTATTTAGATAAAGGTAGGGAAATTTTCATTGCATTTATGGATTTAGAAAAGGCATATGATAGAGTGGATAGGGGAGCAATGTGGCAGATGTTGCAAGTATATGGAATAGGTGGTAAGTTACTAAATGCTGTAAAGAGTTTTTATGAGGATAGTGAGGCTCAGGTTAGGGTGTGTAGAAGAGGGAGATTACTTCCCAGTAAAAGTAGGTCTTAGACAGGGATGTGTAATGTCACCATGGTTGTTTAATATATTTATTGATGGGGTTGTGAAGGAAGTAAATGCTAGAGTGTTGGAGAGAGGGGTGGGATTAAATTATGGGGAATCAAATACAAAATGGGAGTTGATACAGTTAGTTTTTGCTGATGATACTGTGCTTATGGGAGATTCCAAAGAAAAGTTGCAAAGGTTAGTGGATGAGTTTGGGAGGTTGTGTAAAGATAGAAAGTTGAAAATGAACATAGATAAGAGTAAAGTGATGAGGGTATCAAATGATTTATATAAAGAAAAATTGGATATGACATTGGAGAGAGGGAGTGTGGAAAATTACATTTATCTGGATGTAACTCATAATATACATACCAGTAAATGGTAACAAAGATAATTATTATTTATCAAAGTTACAGACAAGTAGGAATTTGGGACACCTAGGTCGCAAAAAAATGTCCCCCTTCGATACCTACCACTGTCATATCCACAAGTTGCTCTAGAACTATTAATTACAAATGAAATATGCATCACCAGGAATTCTGGTAAATATATAAGTTTGTGGACTATATATTAAAATTAATAAATGATTATATATATACACATATACATAACAGAAGGAGAATATATCTTAATACTGTATCACTCACCAATTTGACTGGAGATCAAGGTGTATCATACTCAGAAAACCACTGTCTATACAAGAAAATAACACTGGCTAGAGTTACAACATTACAGACTTATCTGAGGTTCCTGGAGCTGTCTTGTCCAGTCGCCTGATATCTCAAGTTATGCAGGAATGCACATCCAACAATTTCGGCTCCTATTTGAGAGGTGTCAGCCCAATTTTACCTCTAGAGCACGAAAAATTCTTCCCATTATTCACTAACGTTTGTGTTGACTCAATTCAAACATGGCGAGTCTTTTCTGCGCATTTGCAGAATTTCCCATTTTTTATAACATAATTTTTATTAAATACAGTATGGCCATCTATTTACATATAACTACTGTATTTCTGGAAAATATATACAGTATTTTCCACAGGGAGTATGGAAAAAGTGAATGTTTTCAGATGTTTGGAAGTTGACTTGTCAGCTGATGGGTTCATGAAGGATGAGGTTAACTATAGAATTGATGAAGGAAAAAAGGTGAGTGGTGCATTGAGGTATCTGTGGAGACAAAAAAACATTACCCATGGAGGCAAAGAAGGAAATGTATGAAAGTATAGTGGTACCAACACTCTTATATGGACGTGAAGCTTGGGTTGCAAATGCTGCAGCGAGGAGGCGGCTGGAGGCAGTGGAGATGTCCTTTCTAAGGGCAGTGTGTGGTGTAAATATTATGTAGAGAATTTGGAGTGTGGAAATTAGGAGGTGTGGAGTTAATAAAAGTATCAGTCAGAGGGCTGAAGAGGGATTGTTGAGGTGGTTTGATCATTTAGAGAGAATGGATCAAAGTAGATTGACTTGGAGAGTTTATAAATCTGTAAGGGAAGGAAGGTGAGTAGGGGTCGTCCTCGAAAAGGTTGGAAGGAGGGGATAAAGGAGGTTTTGTGGGCGAGGGGCTTGGGCTTCCAGCAAGCATGTGTGGGTGTGTTAGATAGGAGTGAATGGAAACGAATGGTTTTTGGGACCTGACGAGCTGTTGGAGTGTGAGCAGGGTAATATTTAGTGAAGGGATTCAGGGAAACTGGTTATTTTTATATAGCCAGACTTGAGTACTGGAAATGGAAAGGGCAATGCCTACACTTTAAAGGAGGGGTTTGGGATATTGGCAGTTTGGAGGGGTATGTTATACATCTTTATATATGCTTCTAAACTGTTGTATCTGGGCACCTCTGCAAAGACAGTGATTATGTGTGAGTGAGGTGAAAGAACGATGATGAAAGTATTTTCTTTTTTGGGATTTTTTTTTTGGGTCACCCTGCCTTGGTGGGAGATGGCCGACTTGTTGAAAAAAAAATTTTAATTTATTAAGATTAGAAACATGCAAGAGCTGTTTTCAATGGGAATTACATAACCAAAATTCAGAAGCAGATTGACAATGATAATGACAATGTTTATTTCCTTGTAAAGCTTACAATGTGTGATTTACATGTTACAAAGTATTAATTACAAAGAAGGCCACTAGCATGCCTAGGCATTTCGGGCAGACTAATACTAATTCTTACTCTTTATTGATATAGGTTATGGAGCAGTACATTTGAACTTACATTATTAGATACATACATAATTAGGTGCATAATTATATGAAGAATTGAGACACTTATGCAACATATGGGAATCTTTATTTAAGAAACGTTTTGCCAAACAGTGGCTTCATCAGTCTTATACAAAGCAGGAAGGTATAAGGAGAGGAGGAGTTTGAGGTAATCAGTCCCTCAGCCTGGAGTCGATGTGTTCAGTTCATCAATATTGTAGAAAGTACAGCACAGGGCTGCAGCAGTGGCTTATATACTGTAGTCAGGTGAGACGAAGCAGGAGGAGGCAGGGTCATAGTGGAACCATCCACTAGTCTAAGTAGGTGTTTGTCCAAAGATTGGACAAGTTTTAAAGAATTCTTTGTATCAAGATCCCATGATGATGCAGTGTCTGACAGATATTATGAATGGTTTTGAAAACCAACAAGTTGAAGAACTGAGACACTTGTTCAACATATGGGTATCTTTATTGAAGGAACGTTTTGCCACACAGTGGCTTCATCAGCCTTATACAAAGCAGGAAGGTATAAGGAGAGGAGGAGTTGGAGGTAATCAGTCCCTCAACCTGGAGTCGATGTATTCAGTCCATCAGTCTTGTAGAAAGTACACGGCCTGCAAGAGCTTTGTTAGGGTGATGTACCTCCACAAATCTTT